CGAGAGAAGAGGGGCCCCCTCACTGTGCAGATGGGGAACCTGAGCAGGGATGGGGGGGATGAGCGTCAGTGTCTCCCGATGGCCAGCCAGTGCCCTTTCCTCCCCTCGTCCCCTGAACCTTTCCTGTGTCCCATGCCAGTTGAGGCCCAGCAGCCTGGCGAGTGGGGTGGGGTCCCCCTTCTCCGGCCAGGCAGGGGCTGTGGCCATGCTGTCTCTCCCCTATCAGTGCACCAAGACCTGCGGGGTGGGCGTGAGGATGCGAGACGTGAAGTGCTACCAGGGGACCGACATCGTGCGAGGCTGCGACCCGCTGGTGAAGCCCGTTGGCAGACAGGCCTGTGACCTGCAGCCCTGCCCCACAGAGCCCCCAGGTGAGAAGGGGAGGCTGAGGGCGGGCCGGGGGCTTCCCGAGGTGTGGGCAGAGCCAAGGCCTGAGGGATGAGCAGCCATCCGCGGGGTGACCATGAGGGTCTGGTGGCTATGGAGACCAACGCATGTCGGGGAGCACGGGTTCCCCCTGGAATGGCTCAGTCCGACTGGGAGGTGAGAGTGGGAAGGCGGCAGGGGAGGCCTGACCGGGGCTCGGAGTCCCCAGGAGCCATGCCGAGACCTGTGCTTTGGAAAGAGCATCTGGTTTCAGAAGATGGGAGGGTGGATGGCGGGGGACAGGAATCTTGGCAGGTCTCGGCCTGAGCAGCCCTGTGCTGGGCACATGGGAGGCAGGGAGGTGGGGGCTGAAGTAGGGCCTCTGGCTGGGGTACCTGGAAGATGGACGAGGGTGCCAGGCGCTGAGTGGGGCACCAGGGGCAGGTGATGAACTCTGCTCTGGACCTATGGATGGAGGGGGCACCTGTGGGCCTCCTGGGGATGTTCAGGCCACTGGGCTGAGATCAGTGGCTCCTCCAAATCCTGGTCCCGGGGCATCACCCTTCCCAGTGCACAGATCAAACCACTTGGCAGGATCCCTGACCTCCCTGGGGAGGGACTGGGAGCAGGAAAGGGGTGGCAGAGAATAGAGTGTGGCGCCCACAGTGGGGCGGGAGGCCCATTGCCCCTGCACCTGGGAATGAGCACGGAGGGGTCACACCTGTCCACAGGTGCTCTGCCACCTGGGCTGCCCTTGCGCAGACCCAGCTCCCAAAGTTGAGGAGAGGAGGGGGTGGGGAGGGGTGGGGTGAGGTGGGGGTCCTGTCCTGTTGAGTTTTTGCCTGTGGCCGCCTCCTGATGCCCTATGCCCCCTGCTGTGTCCCTTCCTCAGACGACAGCTGCCAGGACCAGCCGGGCACCAATTGTGCCCTGGCCATCAAGGTGAACCTCTGCGGCCACTGGTACTACAGCAAGGCATGCTGTCGCTCCTGCAGGCCCCCCCACTCCTAGGCCTGGCAGCCGCCGCTCCTCAGAGACCCAAGCGCCCCGTCCCTGGGGCCACCGCAGCTTCTGGGGGCCCCCCACGGACCCCCTTCCTGCAGGGCGCCCCGGGCTGTGAAGACGTGACACTGAGCCTCTGCTCTCCCCGGGAAGGAGAGCCCCCGAGCGCCCATCGGCCCTCCCCGGACAGCGCCGCCCTGCCGTGGAGGCTGTTCTGAGAGCCATGAGGATGGCATGTTGGTGGCTGCACCCAGCCCAGCACCCAGCCCTGCACACGGGGCCTGCAAAGATCCTCTCTCCCTCCAGGGCTGTGGGGCCGAGGAGAGAGAGATGGGGCCGCCAGGGAGATCCAGGTGCCGCCTGGACCCTCACCCTGTTTAGGTGCACTCCTTCCAGAGGAACTTTTATCTCACAACTTAGCATCCCTGCACCCCCTCGTCCGGAGCTCTTGCACACAGAGGGACCTGGTGCACCTTACGCCCGGGAGGGACGAGGCACTGGATCACAGTGCACTGGGACGTGGTGGCGTCTGTCAGCACCCCTCTGTATGTCAATAAAGTGGCCGTGTTTGTGGCGGCACCGTGGGCTCTTAGTGGCTCTGGCAGGAGGGGCGGGCCAGCTGTGGGGCTTTGAGAGCCAGGGGAGGCCATCCAGCTCACACATTCAGGAGGATTTGCTGAGGCCACGGGTCTGGGACGGGGCTGGGGGTCGGGCTGCAGCGTCTCTCTGAGGAAACGGCAGTCAGGGGACGGCAGTCAGAAGGCAACAAAATGAAGGGAGCCTGCAGGGAGCAGGGTTCAGGGGGCACCAGGACTCGGATGTTGGAGTCAAACTGAGCCAACCTCGCGCCAACCAAGCGGGACCTGGGGGGTGCCTGGGGGGACCCAGCGGGAACTCCATAACCTGAAACCGGGGAGAAAAGCACCCCCTTGGGGTGTGTTGGGAAGAACAGACGAGATAAGGTGGGGAGGCGGGTGCTCAGGAAATCGCACCACCATTACTGTTTCTAGACCACACAGAAGGGCTACTTAATCTGGAGCTGTGGGTGCAGGGACACAGGAGGGCTTCCTGGAGGAGGTGATGTTTAGGCTGGTTCTGCAGAGTGGCTCTCCCAGATGGGGAGGAGACAGCATGCACAAAGGCTTGAGGGAGAGCGTGGGCATGTCGAGGAGGCTGAAAGCAACTTGGTTTGGCTGTGGCAGAGGGAGGGAGGACGTGGCGTTCACCCGCGGTGGGAGTGCAGGCCTACCACAGGGCCAAGGATGCCACAGGGAATGTCTCCTTTGGGGACAGGTAGCAGGGAGGCGCGCGGCTCCCAGGCTCCTTCCCCAGGTCCCCAGGCTGGGACCTGAGCAGGGTCCACCACACAATGTTGATGGCATCAAGGGGGCCGTGATTGGGTGAGTGATGCTGAAGGTTCACTGAGGCCTGTGGGATGGGCTTGCTAGAGGTCACCGGCTCCGTTCCAGTAGAGGTAAGTCACCGTAACCCAGGCGGGCCTCCCCGATGCGCCCCACCACTGTGCCCTGTCATCACCCCCTGATCTTCTCCCGCCACCTCCCCCACCTCCCTCTCTCCTATGTCCTTCCTCCCCCGTCCTCCTTTCCACCAACACTTATTGTGTGCTTACTGTATGCCAGGCTCTGTGCTCTATCAGCGCTGGCTCATTTAAACTTCCTAAGAGCCCTGTGAAGTCGGTATCATCAACCCATTGTGTTGATGCTAAGACTGAGGCCCAGAGACATCAGTCACCTGGCGTGATGGGTGACTCAGCCCATCACCCCAACCTGCTTTCCAGGAGCTCAGAGTTTGGGCCCCATCTTGGAAGATCGGCACAGCCACCCGGGAAACTCAAAAACAAACGAGCTCGCTGTGGCTGGCCCCTCTGGGCAGAGCCCTGACCCACGGCTGGACGGGAGAGGAAAGGCCAACTGCTGGCACTGGGCTGGACACGGCCCCTTCCAGAACTTTCCAGAGAGGGGCTGGCCTGGAATCGCAGGCAGACTGAAGACCGTGGCGTGGTGGTGTGGGAGACGGGTTTTATTGGCTTTCACTTTTCCCAGGGAGCAGGCAGCTCCCACAGGTCCCCTCGGTGGAGCTGAGCGAACTCACATGGACGGGTGCTTGCTTCACTTCAAATTGATCTAGGAATCTACACGGAGGAGAGAGACCAGCAAAGGAAACAGGAAACCGGAACAGAGCAGCCACAGGAAGTGCCCACCTCCTGGCGCTCACCCCCCACCCCGGCCCACCCCCCAAGCTAGTGCATCAGAAACAAACCCATGGGGTTCCACAAAGGAAGCGGGGAAGCTCAGGGGGTGAATTCCACTAGCATGTCCAAAACGAGGCAGGAGGAGAAAGGAAGAAGAAGAAAATAATCCAGAGTGCTAAAAATAGTAAGTCTTCGCTGACTCTGCTCACGTCCAGGTCCAGATGTCTCCACTCCTCGGCGCTTTCCAGTAAAAGCAAGGAGCGAGGTAATCAGGCTGCCCGCGGCTCAGAGACCCTCAAAGGTTTGTCTTTCAGGAAAGTGGCTTAGCTGGGGAGCGTGGTCCACCTTCCTGGGCAGACTGGGGCTACCCTACCCCGGGCTCCACGCAGAGAGGGTGGGGGCTCTTGGGGCCATGCTTCGGAGAGAGGAAATACTGCCTCTGACTGGGTGGGGGGAGCTGCGTTCCCTGTGGCGGGGCCCCTGGGTTTGCCATTGGGCATCATTTCCCCAGCTGAATGGAGGGAGCCAGCGAGTGGGCTCCCAGGGAGACCCTGGCGCCACTGGGAGCTTGGTGGACAGTGGGTTCAGCTGAGGTCTTCACATGGAGCCAGAGCAGAGAAGGGGCAGCCCGGGCCTCGCTCCCAGATCCCCCTGAGAAATGGGGGCCGGTGGGAGAGCTCGGGTCTGTCTCCGCTGGGGACCAGAGCTTGAAGGGCCCCTGGAGGCTGAGGCCCTGGGGTGGGAGGGCCTGTCCCAGGGCTCCTGGGGACTTAGTGCGTCTTTCAGCCCCTGGTCCATGGCTCTGTCTGTCCTGCCAAGTCAGGGCCGAGGAACGGGCTGTGTCGTTCAGTGTGGACACTCCTGAGGCAGGTGGTTGGCACATGCCTCTTTCTCCCTTTCACCAAAAACCAGTTGGGGCTGAGGATCCCCAGGGCCTGGCCACCCCTGAAACTCCTCCTTCTAGGGAGATCTGCAGGGAGGCCAGCTCAACCAGTGTCTCAGCCGCCAGGCGCTTAAAGCCGGGGGTGTGCGTGTGGGGTTGGGGGGAGGAGACGGAGGCCCCCGTTCTGGGTGGAGGGACAGAATACTTGGTCCGCAATTGCCAGGGAAGGCTTGTGCCTTGGGACCTAGTGTCGTTGCTGCCAGCCCTTCCTTGAACAGGGAGCAGGCTGAGGCCCAGCGAAGGAGTGACACAGCCGGCCACGCAGCCAGAGACGGCCAAGCTCCTGGGGCAGAGATGGAGGCCACTTTCCACTACACCTTTACTACCTGGCAGCGTCGGGAGCCTGGCGTCTGTGCTCCAGAGCCCTGCCTCGCTCCCTCTGCTCTGCAGTCCGTCATCTGAATGTTACCGCTCACGGGTGCCTGCAATGCACCCACCTCCCTCCAGCCCCAGGTCCCGGAGACCCTGACCCCCGGGGACCCCTACCCCCAGCAGCCACGCTTGTGCTCACTGGGCCTTATCCTTGCAGGGAGCCCCGGATCTCCCCGACGGGGCCCTCTGAAGACAGGGATGCAAGGAAGGCCGGGCCAAGCCCCAGTTCAGGCCCGGAGCTGGGCAGGCGCACCATGGGGACCCCACCATGGTCTCAGGACCTGCAGGGCGGGTGCGGGGCACGGCTCAGACGTCGGTGCTGATGCTGCGGCTCCGCGAGAAGGCCTCCCGCATGGCAGAGAGGCGGTTGGGGTTGAGCGCCTGCAGGCCCCCGAAGCTCCCGGGCGGCAGCTCTATGTCCTCCTGGTTGATGCTTTCGTAGGCCACGCGCTCCCCGCCGTTGCGCACGCCCTCGTCCTCCGGCTCCTGCAGGAAGAAGGTGGGCGGCTCGTAGTGGGAGCAGCTGCGGCAGAGGGCACGGGCCTGCGGGGACTTCTGGCTGAAGGAGGTGGAGGCGGCAGGGTAGAGCGCCAGCCCGGGCCCGTTGGTGAGCACGAGGTTGCGGTTGGAGTGCAGCGGGGGCAGGTGTGAGTGCACGGCGAAGTCAGGCTCCTCCTCGTCCTCCTCAGACTCCTCCTTCCTGCAGCAGTAGTACTGCGGGCAGAGGGCGGGTGACCCTCGGCTCCCCACCACCTCTCCCCACCCACGCCGGGCTCAGACACCCGCGTCCCCTTAACCACCACTTACGGGGGCTCGCTCAGGCCAGGCACCCCGCTAAACACTCTGCAAGGAGGGATTCGCTCATTTCACCCCCAGCAACCGGAGGCAGGGGCCGTTGTCGCTGCCAGTTTGCAGGTGGGGAAACTGAGGCACAGAGGGGTCAGGCAGCCTGAAAGTGGCAGAGCTGGGGTTCCAGCCCAGGCAGTGTGGCCCCAGTCTAGTTTATGGGTGCTGCCTTGCCCCGCGCATGTGGCTTCCCTACCTCTCTCAGGAAGACGTGGGGGCCTCGGTGGGCCCTAGCGTATGGGTGGGGAGGGGATGGCACAGGTGGTGGAGAAGCATGGCCCCAGCGCTCCCCCCTGCTCTCTGCTTGGCAGCTGTGTGCCACTGGCTGAGTCCCTTACCCGCTCTGAGCCTCGCTGGCCTCACCTCTCAGTGCGTTTGGGAGGCCCTGGGCGAGGAGAGCCAGGCGGCCGTCATCACTGAGCCCCCACAGGTGAAGTCCGGGCCAGGGCTGTCTGCTTTGCAGGTCCCCTTTAGAGACCTGACTCTTCCCTCCTTCCTGGGCCCGGGGCCCTCGTGGGGGGTGCCCTCCCTCTGCAGGGCCACCCGCGGGGGCTCCCTCCCCCCCCCAGCCTCCCCGGGGGTACCTGGAGCCGGCAGTAGCACAGGACAGCGATGATGCACAGTAGAATCACAGTCGCCAAGATGCCCCCGGTGATGACCACCGTCCCGGCTGTCATCCGCCCCCTTCTCCATCAACAGCCTGCAACACACGCCACCAGCTTTACCGCACCATCGCTCCCTCATTGCAAAAGCAACCCGTGCTACATTAGAAAGTAGTGAAAACAGTCCGAGAGGGGAAAATAAACATCCCGGGGCGTGCGCACAAGAGGAGGGGCTGGGCCTAGGAGTGGGCAGGACGAGATCCAGGCTGTCTGCCTCTCCCTCTCCCAGCCTCAGTTTCCCCATCTGTAGAAGGTGATACCAAAAGCAGGTCTCCACCCCCGCCCAGGGTGTGTGTGAAGATTTTGTGAGCGTGTATTTCAGCGCCCAGCGTAGCATGCTCGCAATGAATGGTGAGCCTTTCCAGCCCGGCTCTGCAAGGTCATGCACTTTCAAATTTACCTAAATGCAGTCAAGCTGAACATACGGTTTCGTAACCTGCTTTTTCACGTAAGAAAAATCATCCTTATTTTTCCAAATCATTAAATTTTCTTCTGCAACATAATTTCTAACCACATTCTGTTGTATAACATAACTGATCCCTTTTCTTTAAAATTTTTAATCGTGGTAAAATATACGTAACATAAAATTTGCCATCTGAAACATGTTTAAGTGTACAGTTCAGTAGTGTTAAGTATATTCACATTGTTGTGCACCCAATCTCCAGAACTCTCTCATCTTTCAAGATTGAAAACCAATTCTTTTTTGATATTTAGGTTGTTTACATTAAAAAAAATGTTTTAAGTGGATGTTTTAATAAGCGTTTTTGTAGCTAAGTAATTGGAGCCACTGGAGGTACAGGACCTACTTCAATCACTTTTTCAGGATAAATTCTTAGAAGTGGGATTTCTAGGCCTAAGGACATGCCCTTTGTAAACTTTTTCTTATGGAAAATGTTAAACAGAAGCAGAGAGAATGAACAATGCTGTCACCAGCTGCGCTCTTGTTGGCTTTTCTGTCTGTCCAGCCAGTGCTGATAAACCAGTTCTCAGAATAAAAGCCTCCTGACTTGCAGCATCTGCTGATGCTCGTGGTGTCAGTAGTCTCACAACGGCCCGTTTCAGGTTCCTGAGGTTTACCGACTGGCTTGCAGAACTCCTGGGTGGTGACAGTCACCTCTCACAAACCAGTGGTCACTGGCTCCAGCACACCTGCCTCAACGTCCCCCCTCATTTTATTTTGCAGTGGATGGCGTGGGGGGAGATTGGAGTATTTTAAAAGACACCTCAGAGCATATCAGTTTACTCATAAATAATTCATCGCAAAATCTGACAGATGAGGACTCGAAAAAAAATTCCCAGTCTGTGTTTAGCTTTCTCCAATCATCCCCCAAATGTCTTTTTACAGTTGGTTTGTTCCAATCAGGATCCAGTTGTGTTTGGCTCTTCTGACTCTAGAACAGTTCAGTTCCCATTCACTCTCCTCCCCCTCCCCTACCCACCTTGTTTACAGAAGAAACTGGGTCATTTATCTTACAGAATTTTCCATGTACTAGAGCTGGCTGGGCTTCCTCGCCAGGTGTTGAACACGTTCCTCCATCCCTGTTTCATCCTCTAAACGGGCTTCCTATCGCATCCCTTTCAGGGGCCGAGACTGCTGTCCCTCTCGTCGTGATGTTGAGATTAACCCGTGGGGTCAGCTGCTGTCAGCCCAGTTCTTCCACTGTAAAGTCCCCATCAGCCTCCCACCTGAGCATTTCAGCAGCCGTCAGGGATCACTACCCAGATCCATTATTTCATTAGTGGTTGCACATAGTGGCTTCTCAAACGCTATCATTTCTTCTGCATTTATTAGCTCTGGTTCTTCTCCAGAGAACTTTCCCTATTACCAAGATGGGTACCCTAAAAGACAGTCTTTGGAGGAAAGGCACGGATGCTCAGCTCTTAGCTTTATCATTTTCAGCCACAAGTTGTGTGGTTGTTTTATGGTATCATTGGGATCTCGCTGACTTTTATATATTTGATGTGTTTCAATCCACTGCAGTCATCATTCTTTTTGATGTTCAAATGATCCCACTGGGATGGCGGGTTTGGGGGCCCCTCCATGTTGGCTCCTGTGTCATTTTGACGGGACTGCACTGATTCCTGATGGTGTTTTGCTTTTAGGCACAAGCTGTCCCGGCTCATTTTGCCCCTGATCTGGAACCTGCTGTTCCTCAGTGACACCCTGGTTCTCTTAGTGGGAAGCGGTTTGCAGAGAACACAGTCTGGCCCTAGAGGTGCTAAGTGCTCCTGGTTTCATTGGTTCTAGACTTTTTCAGCAACCAGAGCTAGAGAATACTTTTTGTATTTATTTTTTAGGAAAAGAAAAATAAAACATGGGTTTATACTGGCATTTCCACTTAAAATTAGAGATTATGGGGTCTTTGTTAAAATTTGATGTCTGCATAACGTTTACAGTGAAAACCTTGTTTCCTAATAACATACATTTCATTACTTATTTACTTTTCCCATTATATATGATAATTTTAAAATAACATTACCAATATTTTTACTAACAAGTCTGCTGAATGGAACTCGAAATTTATTTGTTACTTTTTTGTTCTTATCCCCTCAGGGATGTATAATAAAAAGACTGTTTCAAAGTCATTTGAAATAATTCTTAGTAGTGTTTTTCCACCAACTTGATACTCAGGTTCATGTATTCCAGCTAGTTTTTACGTATTTTTTAAAAAATTGATTTAATTTTGGCTTTTAATTGTAGAAAACATTTGGTTCCAAAGTCAAAAGCACAAAACCGCTACAGCACAAAATTGGGGCTCTCTTGCCCAATGTGCATAAAAAAGCAATTATTATGGCATCAGCTCTTAGGAAAAGAAATCAGCTTTTTTGCAAGATTGGTCTGCAAGGAGACAGGGGCGTATGCTCTCAGATCCGTCTCCCCGATCCAGGGCTTGGGGCACAATTTGTGGGATGAAGGGCGGGGCGGTCTGAAGTGTGGAGATACATGATTGGAGGTGAGGAAAAGTGAGGTCATTGACGATCTGCGCAAGCACAGTCAAGCTCCATGCCCTTTGTAGGACACGTGGTCACAAAATGGCAGTGTTACCATGATCTGAGGATCGAGTTTTCAGACCTTTGACGTCAAAAAAGTCACTTATCTGACATTTGCGCAGGCCCAGCTGATGGGTTGGTGGTCTCAACTGGCCTGAACTGGACAAGGGGTCTCAGTTCCTGAAAAACCACTCTTAATTACTCTGTTGATAAGATGGGGTCAGTGAACTGACCCCAGGGCCGTGACCAGATGGCCCGTGGTTACAAAACCAGGTGCCTTCCGAGGTCTTGTTTCCATTCCTGCCCCTCCCCCTTTCTGCCCCAGAGATAACAACTTTAACTTAGTTCTGGGTTTATCCTTCTACTGCTTCCTTCTAAATATATAAGCAAATATACATTCCCTTCCCCCTTTTAAGTGAAAGTGGCATTCTATATACACTTTCGGCACCTCCCCTTGTTTCACCCAGCAGTCTATCCCTATAGGAACCATATATTCCCTAGATACATGGACTATCCCTACGGATCCCTCCAGAGCCACGCGTAGAACTCGGCTCGCCCCTCCTCGCAGTTGCATCGCGCTCCATCACGAGGAGGAGCCCAGCTTACCCCACCAGGCCCTGCCGGGGGGCATGTGTGTTACCTCCCACTTTCTGCAATTACAGGAATGTGCAAGGAAGAGCTTTGTGGTGTGCACGTTTCTAAAGTTTTCCATAAACCTGCCAAACACTTGCTGGAATTTGGGCTGATTTTTTCTCTTTCAGGAACATGTGAGAATAACTGACAGATGGGATTTTTGTTGGGAGAATCAAGATCTGGGCAGTTGGTGGGTCAGGGGTGGGGGGGCTGAGCCCCTCGCTGGGGCAGGGGTGCTGGGAAGGCACGTGGCGAGGTCGGAGGCATAGTGGTTTCCCTGCAGACTCTACAGCCAGAACAGGGAGGGTCAGGTGGCCTGGGAGGGGGCCTGGTTGGGCAGAGATGACTGGGACCCTCATCTACAGATAGAGGAGGACACAGATGTGTACTCACACGGAGAGTCTCGCCCAGGCGACGCTGTGCGTCAGAGGCAAAGCTGGGATGAGACCCAGACCCCAGACAGACAGACAGAAAGGCAGATCCAGACAGACCCAAAGGGAAGAGACACAGACTCATAGACAGCTCCAAATTCAGACAGACAGAGGTGCAGACAGGCAGATCCAGACAGCGGGACGGACAGGGCCTGAGTCAGGAAGACACAGTGCAGGCCACACAGACAGACAGAGCAGGAGCCCCGGGGACCCCCGCATTCCTGGGCACCCTGCCGGGCAGCTCCGACCCGCCTTGGCCCCGGGGGCAGCTGAGGCCAGCTGGCCCGCCGGCCCTGCCGAGGGTGCAGGCCGACCCGGGGCCGGATCCAGGGAGCTGGGTGTGCAGAGGCGGCGGCCGGCAAGGGGATGCTGGGCGGGGGCCAGGCCTGCTGTCCAGATGCATTTCACGCATTTCGCTGAGGTGAGGCGAAGCAAAGCAGGCAGCCGCTGGGGGAGCGCTGGGCCCCACTCCCACGCCCTTCCCTCCTATGGGACTCAAGGGGACCCCGCAGGCTCGCCTCAGCCTTAACCTGGAGCAGCCAGAAAGTGGGCAGCAGGATGGACCCCAGGCAGCCTTCCCGAGTCTTCACGGTGGCCGTGGGAGGGAGGAGCAGGCCCTGGGACCCTGACTTTACAGATGAGGAGACTGGGGCTCAGAGAAAGGGAAGCCGCTCCTGGGGACCCAGCCCAGCCCCTGCACCCCGTCTGGGTGGGCTGGTCCATGCGTGTCATTCTGGCAAACAGGCCCCATGGCAGCCAGAAGCCAGGCACGCCCCACTTCCTGCCACAAGGGATCCAGGGCCCTCCCAGGCCCAGAGGGCATCAGCGCCCCTGTCGTCCCATCCAGCTCTTGTCATGCAGGCCCCTTCTCTGAGCCCCTCGGGGTGTGGTCCCCATTTTTGAAGATGACAACTGGAGGCTGGGAGAGGAGAAGCGCTCAGTCTCAGCACCAGCAGTTTCGGGGTTGAGGTCAAGGCCGGATC